CCCGACCCCGCCTCCCTCGACCCCGCGCCGATGCGCCGCCTCGCCTCCGCCCACCGGTGCGTGCCGCCACCTCACCAGACCCCAGGAGCCCCGCCGCCTCGCGCTGCCGCCTGCACCGCGTCGCGTGCCGCCACCTCCCCACAAGCTCGCCGCCCCATCGCGGAAGCCTCACCGCCCCGCCGCCATGGGAACCGAGCTCCTCTGCGCCCCGCCCGCCATCGGAGATCTGAGGCCGGCCGGGAGGCGGGGATGGGGTACCGGTGGGCCCCGGGGATCTGCGCGGTGGTGCTGCTCTGGCTCGCTGCGACCGCAGCCGGAGATCCCGATCCCGACGAGCTCGAGCGCGCGTGAGTCCCGCTCCTTCGCCCTGTTTTTCCGTGCCTTCTCACTTGCTCTGTCTGTGGCTCGGTGTTGTCGATTGCGTCTGTGCTGTGCTCAGGGGTGTCCAACTGATTATTTTGCGTTGGATTGCGCAAGCAATGTGACGTTGCATCTACTGCTAGCTCGTTATGCGTGTTTGCTTGCGCTTATAGGTGGAACCGTGAATGCTTTTGTTGATACACGCAACGGGATGATACCGTGTCCTGTCCTGGAGTAAGAATGTGATAGCGCTCCGCGGTTCCTGCAATGCTAATTCTGCCTGCTGTCTCTTTGTTCTTCAGTCCCCACCTTTTTTCAGGTCATGTGCTTCTCGTGTCTCCATTCATTAGATACAAAGTTAGGTCAGATGTCTAGGAATAATATGTGGTTGGTATACTGTGTCTTGTATTTGGACGAGCTCATGCTAATATGTGGTTGGTACACTACCTAGGCAAGGTCATTTTGATACTGATACTTGTGGGCAGCAGAGGGTTCAAATCCTGACCATCTGCTGAGGTGCTTAATTACGCCCCACGCTTCTTCGTTCCTTGTTAAAATATGATTGGAGTATCTTTATCTTCCGTCTCATGGATCCGCTCATAATATCCCGGAAGTAAATATTATTGCTTGCTTCATCTCTACTACTTTCTGTAACTGCTTAGTGTTAAGCTCTTGACTATGCATGTGTGGGTAGTTCTGAACATTTGCTACTAACTGACGTCAAGCACATCCAATTGTGGTTCACTGCAGATTGCCAATGCCAATTTACAACAATTTCAGGTCTGCGAAAGTTGGATTTTGGATAGGCTTTCAAGAGCGTGACCGAAGCAGAGACACACACATGTTTGTACACTTGAATTCTGATGCCACCACCTGATATTGCAGATCCGCAGAGGCCATGAATGGCCTAGTGTGTTTCAGATAAAAAAATATTCTGACCACAACCTTGTACTTTCCTCTTGCATGGCATAAACCACCCTCATGATCAACCTGATTACTTATGCGGCAACCTTCTTACGCAGGCGGCGCGACAACAATTCTTCTTCCTCAAAGCATATATTTTCTCCAAGCGATCAACAAAGTGATTGGTCCATTTGGAAGGTACACAAGTTTCTGATGTTCCTGTATATTATGGGACAGAGGGAGTAGTTGTCAGATCTTCTTTTTGTTCAGTACTTGTTGAGGCTGTCATAATTGTTTTTACTCGAAATTCTACTTGGATTTTCTAATTATGCATTTACCCAGATTAATGCTTAAAACTAAAGTTGGTCATTGGATCTTTTTTGTTTAGGCGAATTTTATGTCGGTACATGCTTGATATGAAAGGAGGGGTTTATCTAATGAACTACACATATGGTTTCACATTCCACCTCTGTGCTCGCAATTTAAATGCAGTATATTTTACTCACTAATAAATCTTGAACAATCTAAAAAATATATAGCTTGGTTTATCTTTGTAAGTCCTTATCTGATTTTTACATTTTCCACATTGTTGTGTCTATTTTCTCAGTTTGGTCCTGTGGAAATACTTGTCTTAGGGGTCTCTGCATTGCATATACACGGAATATTCACAAATCTTAAATACTTGAACTGAGAAAAAAAAGCTTCAGCTAAATCAGAGGCCAAGTTTCTACTATATTTGGCGCAAAGTCGTTGGTTTGTTGATCTTTTCCTATTTATTACTCCTTGTACGTTATGTGTGACTGCTACATACAACAAGGTGTTCCAATCCCCACCAACAAGAGGCACAATGCTTCCAAGATCTTCAACACCCTGAAGGTTGCAGCTGAGGAGACATGGTACTAATACCTTTGTCAATATTTCAAGTTTTTTGTTGTTGCAGTGTTTCATATAAAGTTGTAGTAGTGCTCTTGTGTCTTACCACACATACACACGTGAGAACATAATAAGTTGTACAATATAGATTAGTACCACACCGCGCTTAGTTTGCATCAGATGGAAATGAGTTAGGAAGATAAGAGTAAAATTCATGTCCCTGGAATTACAAATTTATTTAGTAGATACAGACAGAAACGGTACCAAAAATGGCTTGAAGGACCACAAAATTTGGCGGTTTCCACATTTGTATCCTTATCTTCTTATGGTTAGAGCACTGGTTAGGCTTATCTCTAAACCCAAACAGGTATGGAATTGAGCAGGAGTACACTCTCCTCCAGAAGGATGTGAACTGCCCCCTTGGCTGGCCCATTGGTGGCTACTCTGGTCCTCAGGCAAGAAAACTCTTAGCATGCTCTCCAGCTTTCCATGTGTTAAACTTCATAAAAACTGAACATTGCATTTCACCAAGTGAAATGCTACATTTCTACTCCTAACCCATTCTCTCTTTCTTAGTGTTTTTGTTATGCAAGTTGGAAGAAAAGAAGAAGATCCAGAGAAGATCTTAGTAATAAGATAGTTTTTAGGAAAATAGATATTTAGTTTTAGGTCATTTCTTGTAATTTCAGATATGGAGTGCTTGTCTTTAGTTCTTGTTTTGACTTTGTGAAACTTGCTAGCTATGGACAAAACTGTGTAATATTGATGAAACTATGTATATGTATGGATGAAACTTGCTACTATGTGTTCATGACTATTGGTATATATATGTGTGTGTGCGTGCGTACATGCGAAAATGAATTGATTAAGAAAAAACAGAATTAAATGGGGCAATATAGACTCTTTGCCATCTGCTGGCAGATGGCAAAGAGCCAATCTTTGCCGTCTGCCAACAGATGCAAAGGGCCATGACCTTTGTCGTCCGCTGGCAGACGGCAAAGTGCCCTTTGCCATAGCTCGTTCAGCCGGACGTTTTGCCTACTGTTGTCTGACGGCAAAGGCCTTGGCCGTCTGCAAGGCATGCCTTTGCTGTCCGCCATGGCAGATGGCAAAGTTTTTGATTCCTGTAGTGTATGGATTGAGTAAGATCCTTCAAGTAAGTTGTCATTGTTGTATGCAATAAAAAGTGCTCTCTAAATATGTATGACTTATTAGTGTGGAGAAAATAAGCTTTATACGATCTTGTGACATGGAAGCAATAAAAGCAACAGACTGCATAACAAAGGTCCATATCACAAGTGGCAATATAAATTGACGTTCTTTTGCAATAAGATTCCGTGCATCCAACCATAAAAGCACATGACAACCTCTGCTTCCCTCTGCGAAGGGCCGATCTTGTATTCTTGTCTTATACATTATGTAAGAATCATGGTGATCTTCACCTTTCCTTTTTATATTTTATCCTTTGGCAAGCACATTGTGTTGGAAAGATCCTGATATATATATCCAATTGGATGTAAGTTAGCATGAACTATTATTGTTGACATTACCCTTGAGGTAAAAGGTTGGGAGGCAACACTATAAGCCCCTATCTTTCTCTGTGTCCGATTAAAACTTCATAACCATAAGTATTGCGTGAGTGTTAGCAATTGTGAAAGACTAAATGATAGTTGAGTATGTGGACTTGCTGAAAAGCTCTTATATTGACTCTTTCCTATGTTATGATAAATTGCAATTGCTTCAGTGACTGAGATTATAGTTTGTTAGTTTTCAGTGAAGTTTCTGATTCATACTTGACATTGTGAATAGATTGTTACTTTAGCATAAGAAATCATATGACAATATTTATATATGTTGCTGTTATAAGAATGATCATGATGCCCTCATGTCCGTATTTTATTTTATCGACACCTCTATCTCTAAACATGTGGACATATTTTTCGTTATCGGCTTCCGCTTGAGGACAAGCGAGGTCTAAGCTTGGGGGAGTTGATACGTCCATTTTGCATCATGCTTTGATATTGATATTTATTGCAATATGGGTTGTTATTACTCATTATGTTACAATACTTATGCCTTTTCTCTCTTATTTTACAAGGTTTACATGAAGAGGGAGAATGCCGGCAGCTAGAATTCTGGGCTGAAAAAGGAGCAAATATTAGAGACCTATTCTGCACAGCTCCAAAAGTCCTGAAACTCCACGGAAGTTATTTTTGGAATTAATAAAAAATACTGAACGGAAAAAATACCAGAGGGGGCCACCCACCGTCCACGAGGGTGGGGGCACGCCCTACCCCCCGTAGGCGCGCCCCCTGCTTCGTGGGCCCCCTAGCAGGCCTCCGGTGCCCATCTTCTGCTATATGAAGTCTTTTACCCTGGAAAAAATCATAAGAAAGCTTTTGGGACGAGACATCGCCGCCACGAGGCGGAACCTTGGCGGAACCAATCTAGGGCTCCGGCGAAGCTGTTCTGCCGGGGAAACATCCCTCCGGGAGGGGGAAATCGTCACCATCATCATCACCATCGATCCTGTCATCGGGAGGGGGTCAATCTCCATCAACATCTTCACCAACACCATCTCCTCTCAAACCCTAGTTCATCTCTTGTATCCGATCTTCCTCTCAAAGCCTCAGATTGGTACATGTGGGTTGCTAGTAGTGTTGATTACTCCTTGTAGTTGATGCTAGTTGGTTTATTCGGTCGAACATCATATGTTCAGATCCTATATGCATATTAATACCCCTCTGATTATGAACATGAATATGATTTGTGAGTAGTTACGTTTGTTCCTAAGGACATGGGAGAAATCTTGCTATAAGTAGTCATGTGAATTTGGTATTCGTTTGATATTTTGATGAGATGTATGTTGTCTTTCCTCTAGTGGTGTTATGTAAACGTCAACTACATGACACTTCACCATTGTTTGGGCCTAGAGGAAGGCATTGGGAAGTAATAAGTAGATGATGGGTTGGTAGAGTGACAGAAGCTTAAACCCTAGTTTATGAGTTGCTTTGTAAGGGGCTGATTTGGATCCATATGTTTCATGCTATGGTTAGGGTTACCTTAATACTTCTTTTGTAGTTGCGGATGCTTGCAATAGGGGTTAATCATAAGTGGGATGCTTGTCCAAGAAAGGGCAGTACCCAAGCGCCGGTCGACCCACATATCAAACTATCAAATTAACGAACGCGAATCATATGAGCGTGATGAAAACTAGCTTGACGATAATTCCCATGTGTCCTCGGGAGCGATTTTCTCTATATAAGAGTTTGTCCAGGCTTGTCCTTTGCTACAAAAAGGATTAGACCATCTTGTTGCACCTTATTTACTTTCATTACTTGTTACCCGTTACAAATTACCTTATCACAAAACTATCTATTACCGATAATTTCAGTGCTTGCAGAGAATACCTTTCTAAAAACCGCTTGTCATTTCCTTTTGCTCCTCGTTGGGTTCGACACTCTTACTTATCGAAAGGACTACGATAGATCCCCTATACTTGTGGTCATCACTCAACATTTTCACCCTGGAAATCGAACCCTTGTTCGTAGACGCTATCATCACGCTCATCCTCCACGATCATGTTGTGCATGATCACACAAGTAGTCATCACCTCTCAAAGCTTCTTCGTGCTCCATGTCAATGCAGGGTTACGAATGATACCCCGCCGAGACTGAAGCACACCGAAAGCACGCTTCACATCCTTCCTAGAACTCTCCTACATTTGGGCAAACCTCTTTCTCTTCTCTCCTTCCGGATTTGGTATAGTCTTCACAAGATTGGACCACGAAGATAAATGCCATCAACTAGGTAATATCCCTCGTTGTAATGGTGGTCATTGACCTCAAAGTTGATCATCGTGGAATGGCCTTCTGCAAGCCTTGCAAACACCGGAGACCGCTGAAGAACATTAATATCATTATAAGAACCAGCCATGCCGAAGAAAGAATGCCATATCCAGAGATCTTGTGAAGCCACAGCTTCAAGTATAATAGTGACACCTTTCACATGCCCCTTGTACTGCCCCTGCCAAGCAAATGGACAGTTCTTCCACTTTCAGTGCATACAATCTATACTACCAACCATGCCTGGAAAGCCCCTCTCGGCATTTATCGCCAACAACCTCTTTGTATCAGCGTCAATTGGCTCTCTGAGGTACTCAGTGCTGAACACTTCCACCACGGTCTTACAAAAACTATACATTGAGAGGAGACATGTGGACTCACTCATACTAACATACTCATCCACACCAGGAATTCCATATGCAAGCATGCAGATAGCCACAGTGTGTTGACACCAGATTTTGGCACGGTCAAGAACTTATTTAAGATGGCCTCAAATGAAGAAGTGATCTACATCAAAGAGTTCTGTATTGTTGATATAAACATCTTTGAAGTTTGGGCATCGCCGTCCAATTTCATACCGAAGGCCGAAACTATGCTCAAAGTACTAAGATCTTATATTCGAGTATAGTTTGTCCAATTAAGCCCCCAAGAGGACATCAAATGGAAAAACTTTCGACACGAATTCTCTTCGTCTCATTGAAACGGTTGATTTTGATATAAAAATCATCTCAATCCGAGATCGTATGCAAACGTTAGAGCCATTAGAATACAGCCCTGCCAAGAGGCTACATATGGCGCGCCCCACCAGACATGATGTCTGATGCGTAGCGCCACCAATCGGTTGTCTTGCGCGAGCGATTCAGCCCTGAAGATGGCTTCGAATCATAAAACATTCAACATGAAATTTGTTTGTCTCGTCGAAACAGTCTAATTTTCGTTTGGGCTCATCTTCATCAGAGGTCGTTTGTGGCCTGTGGGACCTAAAAACCGAATTGATGTTCCAGACTTACCTAAATCCGAGTTTGGTTAATTTTGGAAAGATTTGGACGTGATTTGGACGTGATTTGGAGTCCTTTTCTTGTACGGGAAGTCCATCCACCTCTTATATACCCAAGGGGTGATGGCCGATTGAACAACACACAATCGAACAAATCAT